TTGAAAAATTTTGGGTATGGAGGAGAAATGATAGGAAAATTTGCACTGATTTATAGTGGTTCGACTTCTAAACCAAGTCTACATCCACTACCTTAGTTCCACTAAGGATTTTCTAACAAATCCACTAATTTGTTCTTTCTTTTACAGGACAAATAGATAACCTTTACAACTCCCTAGTTTTTCAAAGGGTAAGCTAAAACCAATCCCTTTACAAAAGGAAAAATATGTAAACAAGAAACCCTCTTAAAGGAAAGTGTTTACAAAAATTAAGCTCACTAAAACATATTTACAAGAGAAAGGAAAATAAAATGAAAAGCTCTTCTCTTGTGTTTATTGCTTGGATAGGTGTTGTTCTACTTCTTTAAGTGTCATCAACTTGTTTTTATATGTTAGAATGACTTTGTGGCCGTTTTTAGCCGTTGAAGATGTTTTGGAGCCGTTGGGGATTAATTTTCTGCAAAATAAATCTGTCTAGGACAGGGAGTATCGATACTCCTTTAATGAGTATCAGTACTACCTTTGTAATATTTAATGCCGTTGAAAACCGTTGGGCTTGACAATATTGATACTATGCTTCATGGTATCGATACCACTGTGTAAAGTAGTATCAGTACCCCTTGAGTATCGATACCTATTTTGTATTCTGGAATTTGAGCAATTTGGAAAACATCTAGTAGTATCGATACTACCTACAGAGTATCGATACTTCTCTTACATTTGGTATCGATACCACATGAACAATATCGGTAGTTTATGTAGTATCGATACTGTAAGAACATTATCGGTACTACGTACCCAAAAAATTATTTTGTGCTCAAATTCTAGTTTAATGAACTTTGAATTATTTTTGAAAACTTTGACATATTCAATCAAGTCCAAAACATTTTGCCTTAATTTGTTATATCAAAATATTATAAAACATAGTTCAACACATTACCCAACTCAATTAAGGATACATAAAGGGTTATAGAACAAAACACATCTCACCAAAATTCTTTTTCATTCATGATCTACAAAAGAATAGAGTCTGACAGATTCATTCAAGTGAAACTTTAGTAGATCTATTTACTAAGGCGCTTTCTACTAGTTCATTTGAAAAGTTAATTTTCAACATTGGATTATGTCGTTTAAGAGACCTTTCATGATGTGTTCATGAGAGGGAGTAAATGCACGTTGTACTCTTTTTCCCTTATCCATGGTTTGTCTCACTGAGTTTTCCTGGAAAGGTTTTTAATGAGGCAACATGTCATGCTTATTAAAGAATGATGTACTATTTTTCTTTCATTGGGTTTTATCCCTTAGGATTTTCCTAGTAAAGTTTTAACGAGATACATATTCTTCTGATAAACATCTAAGGGGAAGTGTTATAAATGGTATTTATTTAAGTGGGTGTTTCATCTTTTATATTTAATGTATGATAACTTAAAGATTAATTGTTGTAACATATGATTCTAGTAACCTATGACTTTGGAGCCTATAAAAGAATGTTTATAATGATGAGTAATAAAAGATTATTATTCACTCTTATATTATGTTCTACATTTATATAATTTTGTAATTTTTAATAATTAATTTTTTTAAAATTTAATCAACATATTTCCTTTTTTCTTGGAATCGGTAATTTCCTAATTTTATAACGCGATAAGACTTAAAGAAAAAGCAATTGTGAGATACTGGCAACTTGAAACCTTATCATCAACATTTTTTTTAAGGGTAAAGTATAGTAATGGTCACTGAACTTTTCTAAAGCTTTTATTTAGGTCCCTCAACTTTTAAAACTTGTAATACAGTCTTCCAACATTTAGTTCATTTACAATATGGTTCCCCAACATTTAGTCTATTTACAATATAGTCCCCCAACATTTAGTCCATTTGTAATATGGTCCCCGACGTAACTATTGGGAGATCATATTACAAACGGACTAAATGTTAGGAGACTGTATTGCAAGTTTTAAAAGTTGGGGACCTAAATGAAAGCTTTAGAAAAGTTCAGTGACCATTACTATACTTTACCCTAAAAATTATCTCAAATATATGTTCCAAAAAATAATTTATTTCCCTCCTTTTCTCCTTCTAACTACAATTTGCATTTATTCTAATTCTACAAAATCGAAACCAACCAAAATAGCTAGACATTTGGTTTTGATTATTTGGCTTACACAAAATAACAAACACATCTGAAACTCCTGTACCATCTAAAACCCTAATTCAAAGATTTACAACACAAAAACTCAATTGCACACATGAAAAAAATGAATTATAATCGAAATAGACAAGAGTTCGGTTTATGAAATCATGCCCCATGCATACTGCAAATGCAACAAATAAAAAGAGCTCAAAATTGAACATATAAATCCGAATTAATAGTTAAAACATGCTTCCGAATTCCAAAATGTGAACTTACTAACCAAATATTCATAGAAAACCCCTCAAGTTTTGGATTAGTAAGAGAAATGAAGTTACCGAGTCCAATTTCCCACAGTGCATTAAATTCCGGAACATTTCTATGACTATAATTCAAGTATTCAACCCAAAAAAACAGTGAACACTAAAGCGGAGAAAGCAAAGTAAAATCATTTTCGAATAAAGAGAGAGATTAATTTAAATTCTGAAAGAAAAAACATGAAGTTAATCCCAGAAAACAGATCGAACGAAACAAAAGAAAACTTGAGTGAATAAAAGTAATTTGAGAGGTTAAAAGAAAATTTCCTTGAAATTTAATATCTTGAAAGGGATTCGAGGAAGTTAAATTGCGAAATTGGAGAGTTGATAAAGAGAGATTATAAAATCAGAACTCTCTCTCAGAAAAGACAATTCAATTTTATTTATAGGGTAAAGTATAGTATTGGTCACTGAACTTTTCTAAATCTTTCATTTAGGTCCCCAACTTTTAAAACTTGCAATATAATCCCCAACATTTAGTCTGTTTGCAATATGATCCCTTAACATTTAGTCCGTTTGCAATATGGTTCCCGGCGTAACTGTTGGGGGACCATATTGCAAATGGACTAAATGTTGAGGGACTATATTGTAAGTTTTAAAAGTTGAGGGACCTAAATGAAAACTTTAAAAAAATTCAACGACCATTACTATATTTTACCCTTTTTTAATTCAATAGTTTAATGAGTGTGCGGAATTTTTAATAAAATAAAATAAAATAAAATAAAGAGTGTACGGCTGTATTGCATGCATAATGTATGGGATCAATATTATTTTATCACCCTATAATTATGTGCATAACGAAAATATGATCAACATGGGTTGGTAATGAATAATTCAAGCAATATTATCTTCCCAAGGGTGTTAATTTTTGACATTGTTACAAAAGAATTAACACCGTACGTGTGATGTATAGTTTGAACTTAGAAGAATGATTTTTTTTTCCTTTAAAAAAAGAACATGTACAATGATCTTAGCACTGATCAAATTTTGAAAACTTAAACAGCCGTAATCCAGGTATCATATAAACCTAAATTTTATAGTATTAATTATAAGATTTAATTAAAGTTGGGATTTGGATCCCAGTCATTAACAGATACAAAGCAATGATTTTGTTGATTATAAGCTTTGTAGAGGATGTCAAATTTTCCCACCCTTTCACCCTTGATTTTCTTCATTATTTTTTTATTATATATATATATATATATATATATATATATATTAAAAAGTGATTTTTTTTAAATAACAAAAGTATAACAAGCACATGAAACTTTAAATAATTATTTACAATGTTATAATTTACTTATCCAACTCAACTCATGCTTCACACTTATACAATTTCTATGAAAATGAATGTGCAAAAAAAAAAAATAATCCGAACAAAAGTGTAACAATATCCTTTAATTAATTAATATTGTAAATGTAACTAAATGAAGATGTATGTTCTTATACTAAAGAGTGTATAGATAAAAATTAGCTGACCCTATTCCCATATATAATGGGGTGAGGGGAGGTAAGGTAATAGGCTGCCCCTAACGCCAGGTTGAGAGCAGTTTCCGTGGAATACCTCCGGCAGTCAGAATTATGAATTGCCCACCGTAAGACTCGATCCCACGACCACAAGATTAAGAGCCTTAAAAAATAAAGTAAACCAAAATTTTAAAAAATACGAAAATATAAGATAATACCGTGTAAATATTAAACTTGAAAATGATATTATAAGGGTATTAAGAAAGTGAAGCCAAAAAATAATAAGAGAGGTGGGGAAAGAGTTTTAAGTAGTTTTCATAAATAGTGGTTTCTTGTGCTTTAAGCTTGGGGATTAGAGGGCACTTATATTGAATTAGACTTTTCTAAACATATGATACATATGCTTACATCACCTTACGTGTTTTCATTTGTCGAATAATCTTTAAGCGTCACAGCTTAGCCTTCCTTCATTTTGTATTACTTTTTTCAAGTTTCAAAGTCAAAAACATTACTATTATAGAAACAAATGTATTATTTTTCCAACATTAGAATAAGTTCCCAGTATTCAACTTGCCACTATTAAATTAAACCCAAATTAAAATAATCATTAGGGTTTTAACGATTCAATTATATTTTATTTGGTATAATTAACAGATATTTTCATAAGACTTAATTATTATTTTTATCAAAATATTAAATATTGAATTTAATCAATCATTTTATATCTTATAAATTATTTTTAAAAAATTAAACTGCATAACTAAATAATCGGATCAACTAATGTCACTGTCCGATTTTCGATTTTCAAGCCGGACGAAGGCCTTTTAAATAATAAAAATAATTATTATTTAATTGATTTTGAAATTTGGTACAGAATTAAAAAAATGTTTTAGTTTTTGGTGATTGGTTATGTTTTAATGGACCGGATTACACGTGTACCGCGTAAGAGCAAATTGTCTGACTCGAAAAGTCAGAAGTCCCACAATGTTCTACCTTCCCATGCAACGGCGTCGTTCATAAAGAACGTCTATAAATATCCCTTTCCCCAGGATTTATTGAAACTCATATACACCAAAAACAAGACGCAACCAAACAAAAATTCCATTTTCTTTCTTTTATTATCTGCCGCCAAACAGGAAAGGATTCAAAGCACTTACCTCTTCCATCATTATCTCAGAAAATGCCGAGAAAAGGAATGAGGAGCCTTTGCTTTAGCTCCAGGACGCCCTCGTTTTCCATCTCCCACCAATCAACCTCACAATCTTCCTCCAGTACTCCTCGCCGGAGATTCACCGATTCCATGATCGACCAAACCATCGACGCCGCCGCTTCTATTATCATGAAATGGGACGCTGAAACCTCGGCTTACGCTCAAGTGACCTCTCTTTTCTATGAAAGCAAAAGAGAAGCCCTGCAGTTCATAAGATCTGTCAACGACATACAGAAAACCATGCATTTGTTGATTTCCGATCAAGAATCCAGTTCAGAAAAGCTCATTAGAGCTCAAAATTTGATGCAAATAGAAATGAAGAGGCTTCAGAAAGAGTTCTACCAGATATTGTCGATGAATCGGGCTCATTTGGATCCGGAAGTGGTTTCGACCCGATCTTCATTGACATCGCCAAGATCTAGCATGTCAGTTTTCGATGATGACAGTTCACCGGACGATGAGATCCGCAAGGCAGGAGATTCCATCACTGAAATAGAAGAAGTTTCTTCCATGGCCATGTCAGATCTGAAATTGATAGCCGATTGCATGATCGCTTCAGGTTACGCCAAAGAATGTATTCACATTTATAAAAGTATTCGAAAATCGATCATCGATGAAGGTATCTATAAGCTTGGAATCGAGAAGATAAGCTCATCTCAGGTTAATAAAATGGATTGGGATGTACTGGATTTGAAAATCAAAAACTGGTTAGAAGCAGAGAATATTGCGATGAGAACGCTTTTCACCGGAGAAAGAATCCTCTGCAATCAGGTCTTTGCTACGTCCGATTCCATTAAAGAATCTTGTTTTACGGATATCTCAAAAGAAGCAGCCACGCTCCTGTTTGGGTTTCCTGAGCTCGTCGCAAAGACCAAAAAATACCCGCCGGAGAAAATATTCCGAGTTCTCGACATGTACTCGGCCATTTCAGAAGATTGGCAAGAGATCGAAACAATCTTCTCTTTCGAATCGACTTCCCCCGTCCGAGTACAAGCTCTCAACTCGTTGGTTCGACTCAGCGAGTCTGTTCATTTGTTGTTGATGGACTTTGAGTCAACAATCCAAAAGGATTCATCCAAAAAGATGATTCCCGGCGGCGGGTTGCATCCTCTTACAACCACCTCCATGAATTACCTCACTCTCCTCGCCGATTACAGCAACATTCTCGCTGACATTATGGCGGACTGGCCACCGCCGGTAAAATCATCATTACCGGCATCCTTCTTATACAGTCCAGAGTCCGATGATTCTTCGGCCCCGGCGATTTCAGTCCGTATTGCTTGGCTCATCCTCGCCCTACTCTGCAAACTCGACGGCAAAGCAAAGTATTACAAAGACATCTCATTAGCATACCTATTCTTAGCCAACAATCTTCAACACGTGATCTACAGAGTCCGTACATCGAATCTCCAGTACATACTCGGCGAGGAATGGATTACAAAACACGAAGCTAAGGTGAAACAATTCGCAGCGAATTACGAGCAGTTAGCGTGGGGCGAAGTGTTCGCTTCATTGCCGGAAAATCCAACGTCCCCGATCACACCTGGAAAAGCTAAAGACCATTTTAGGAAATTCAATTCAAGCTTTGAAGTAGCGTACTGGAAGCAGAGTTCTTACGTTATACCCGATTCAAAATTGCGAGATGAGATTAAGGTTTCAATCGGGAGAAAACTCGTTGCATTATATCGAGACTTTTACAATACGCATAGATCAACTGTGGGAGATGAAAGGATGGCGAGATTATTTGTTAGATTTTCACCTGAAGATATCAGGAATTACTTATCGGATCTATTTTTCGGGACAGCGAGTTCTGGAAGTTCGTCGAAGTCGTCTTCGGTATCGTCTCATCATCGCCGGCAAATACGATCGCCGTTAAGAGTGTAAATCTTTTTCTATTATTTAAATGAAAGATAAAATAATTGAGGGCCGTTTTTTTGGAAAACCCTGAAACCGGCCATCCTTTTCAGGTTGTTATTTAACGACCTTTTTAAGTTTAGACGGCTTTCTCATAATCTCATGTGTGATATTTCAAACCTGTTCAGTCTGTTAATTACAGTATGTGTATAATTCAGAATACTCAAATACCGTATACATATATTACGAGGCACATATAAGATACGTTCTCAGAAAGATAATACGAGGTCAATAAGAATTTAAATCTATTAAAATTTAGGATAAGTGTCTATCTATCCAATTATTATTTTGGTCATGTTTTGACCACTCAACTATTTTTTAAAAATTAATATTGAAGTTATATTTTAATCATACACTGTTAAAAAATTAATAATGATGATGTACATATTATCATAAGATAATACATTTTATCAGTGAAAGAATTTAAAAAATATATCACATCAGTAATTTTGTTTATTTTTTAATAGTGAGTAACCAAAACATAACGTTAGTAATTATTTTGAAAGAATAATTAAATAATTAAAAGAGAACTAAAGTGATAATTGTGTGACTAAAACATAATCTAAAGTGATAATCGGATGACGAAATACATATTACTCTAAAATTTATATATTATACAATTTCAAAATTTATAATAAAAACATATTAGTTCAAGAAAAACAATGATATTAAAATTGATATATATATATGTGTGTGTATGTATGTATTATGATACAAAATACAGTGAACAGGTGTCTACAAATAACCAGATATTTTATATTATTATTTTCGAAAGAGAAATATGTTTATTGTATAATCATTATGAGTAATTTGTATTTGAGAAATTTGGTTAATTGATGGATCAAGTCTATCTACCATAATTTTTAATCGTTGTTTTCCGAGTTATCTAATCAATGGGCTTTGATGCCTCTTAGTTGTCAGTCTATAGTAGCTTTTAAAAAGTGTATTTAAAAGTGTTAGAAATGAAATTTTAAAAGTGTTATTTAAAAATATAATTTAAAATATAAATGTTTGAGATTATTTTTAAAAAGTGAGTTTGAAAAGATAACATAATCATCATAGACATTATATTATCAATTACAAATATAACATTTAAATTATACTTACATTTATTAACACTATGATATATAATTTCAAAAAAAAAAACTAATTCTATGATATATAAAATATATTAACTTAAATTATAATAAAATATAAGAATGTATTTTAAAATAATTCATTAATAATATTTTTATATGTGAAATATTTTATTAATAAAAAATATATTATTAACATTTTTAACATAAAAAGTTAAAATTATTATGAAATAATAATTTAAATACTTGTTTTGACAAAAAGAATATTACAGAAAATACTAGTAATTAAAATAAATTATTAACTAATAAATTATTTTTTAAGTATATTAGCATTAAAATATTAAAATAAAATGTAAATACATAATTGAGTAGAGATCATGTATTATTAAAGGTAAAATTATAATTTGCTTCCAAACGTAAAATTGAAACTGAAAAAACTAGAAATCATAGTTTTTGCAGTTGATTTGAAACCACCCTTTTCACTGTAATTTTTTTTTATCCGTTTGACATTGATATTACGATCGAAACGAACTTTTTACTTAAAAGTAATTTTAAAAAATACGCCAAACTAGACTTATTCAATTTTAATAAAAGGTTGACTTAGAAAAATATATGGTTTGCATCCACTAAATTATTAATCAAAACCTAGTATTGTCAGGATTTAAATTTAAGAATGATTTAATTACAATAAAAGAATTGATCATCATATAAAGATAATTTTAAGGTCAAAAGTATGGTTAAATTTAAAATTTCCATAAATTAATCATTTATTTGATAACGTAATTGATAACGTGACTGGGGTAATGTTTGACAGTCTAAAGCTCATTGGCAGAAGCAGCTTCCAATATGAAAACGAGTGGAACTGGGTTCCGTCAGAGCCTGAAAACAATGAAGACATTTGCAGTCAAATGATATAATTATAGTAAAAACAAAAGAAGCACAGAAGAAGTTTCCAGAGAAAAACAGAAGAGAAGTATTCTAATAATTTCAAAATTGTGGTGCATTCCAACATTCGAAATGACTTATTTTCCAAGGGCATTAGAATTGCCATCTTTTCATTTACCCAGTTTCCAGAACTTCAGATTTCAATTACTTGTCCAGTCACAACTCCGTCTACTTGTCCATTCTTATGGATCTTAAAACTACAATTCCATTCACTTAAACTCAATCATATTATATTTATATCGTTCAAAATATTCTAGATGATCCTATATTTAATATATTTTGTAATATATAATTTGAGAAATTGTCATATTTCCATATTTTGTTTGGGATTAATAATAAATTAAATGGATAAGGATTTGATTAAAAATATGGGTTCCTTATTTGCTCAGGACAAAAATTATAATTGTTATTATTTAAAAAGATTTTTTAGAGTACGAAGCAACCTACCTTAGTGATAAAGAAATTGTTGTTATTTTTTGAAATCTCGAGCTTGAGTATCATGAATATCAGGGGTATGAGCGTTCAATTTCAAATGGTTAAGAGTTCTCTTTAAACAAATATTATCTTTTATTTATTTCAAATTAATAAAAAAATTTAAATAGTTAATAATTAAAATTCAGTTTTAACCTTGACCTAGGTGAATTGTGTATATATGATATATACATTAAAAAAACTTAGGTTACTTGCCCTTAAGAAAAGAAAAGAAAAGAAAAAGTTTTGTTGTTTGAGATAAAATCAAAAAAAATGTTTTAAGAAAACAAATCAAAACAAATATTTTAATCAACCAATCTTTATTTATTCGAGTGTGAATATTTATAGAGGGTGCTCGTCTTTTAGACAAACAACACCTTTGAATTACTCAAAGAAAACACCCTTGAAAATTTGGAAAAAAACCGGATAATTTTCGATTTCTAGGTGAGATTTTAGGGAAAATTTTAATCTTTCATTACGTATGTTGAGTTAATCGATCGATGGAATCGGCCAAGAGGGGGTGAATTGGCAATTGAAATTTTGGTAGAAGCTTTTGCAGAAAATTGAAAGTAATTGCACAACGATTTAGAGTGGTTCGACTTTCTTGACCAAAGTCTACGTCTACTACCTTAGCCATCCACACTAAGGATTTTCCAAGAAATTCACTAAATTTTTATTTCTTTTGAGATCAAAGAGATAACCTTAAAACTCCATCAAGAATATACCACAATTCTTGAGAACACTCTTTCTCAAAGAGAATATTACAAATTTGCAAACTTACAAGGAAATCCTCACAAGGTAGATTGTTTGCACAATTCTAGAACAAAGAAAAGAACACTAAAAAAATAATACAATTGAGTACAAGTAGTGTTCTTGAAAGTAAAATGAATATTGAATAAAAAAATAGGCTTGAAATGCTCAAACTTGAGCTTTGATGCTTTCTCTTTGATTCTCTCTTAATTCTTGATTCTTGTTGTTTCTTGTTGTTGATCAATAGCTTCTAAGCTTGTTTAAATACTCATTCAATTGATTATGAACGTTGGGGTAAATTAGTGGAGTTAATATAGTCGTTTAAGTGTGAAAACAATTAATAAAATCTGTTGGGAGAGTTAGTGCATCGATGCATACACAAGGTGCATCGGTGCATCAAGTGTAAAATTCAAATACTTTGACCGTTAGACCCTTAGTGCATCGGTGCACTAAGAGTGAATCGATGCATGAAGTGCATTCGATTTTTCAAAATAGCCTGAGTGCATCGATGCATGGATTGTGCATCGATGCATCAAATGCATTCGATGTTTTCATTAAAACCTGAGTGCATCAATGCATGGAGAGTGCCTCGATGCATAAACTGCATTTGATGTTCAATTTATTCATTGGTGCATCGATGCATGGATTGGTGCATCGTTGCATCCCTTTGAAAAATTGATTTTAGGCTTGATTTTGGTTCAAAATACTTTGTGAAAATTGTTTCAAAAATATATTAAGTATAAAACACAATTTTACACATTTAGTAAGGTTTGAAATTGATCTTGAAAGACTTGGAGTAATAATTTGATATTCGATTAATTGAATTGAATATACTTATAAAATTCTTTGTAAAATCTTAAAATTCATTTATACTTAGTTTGTTATATCGAAACATCAAAATGTTTTTAACAATCTCCCCCTTTTTGATATAACAAAACATTTGTGTAATTTTAAGATTCTTTAAAAATAAATTTTGAAATCAAAATCAAGTTTGAAATTACTCCCCCTTACTCTAACACTTCTCACCTTTTACACTTTTACACTTCTCCCCCTTTTTGTTAAATCAAAAAGACTTTAAACACGTTTTAAACAAGGTTTTTGAAAAACATAGCCAATTGATTTTTAATAAATATAGCTTAAGCTGCTAAGATCAAAGCAAGAGAAAGGTTAGCCATTAGTTTTCATAAACAATATTCATAAACATGTAATGGATAATTGGTCATATATGTCTAATGATGCAAAAATAAGTATTAATATCAAAAAGAAAATTCAAACCAAACATATATATATATATTAAGATTTAATATCTAAAACAACCAAAACATTAATACAAACATTCAACCACCCAAAATAAACAATCCATAAACATCAAAATCAATCCAAGTTTTAAATCCAAGAAAGCATAACAAGGAAAAATCTAATCATTCGGAGGATCGGGAGGAGGAGGAAATCGTGCTTGCATCTCAAGAGAGAGAGCATCCATACGTGCAAGCATCTGCCGTTGAAACTCCATTTGTTGAGCTTCCAAAGAGTCTAAGCGATGATTCATCGCTTCATTGTTAGCAGTCAAATGGGATTCAATGGAAGCAAACCGTAGATCAAATGTCTCCAAAAAAGAATGAAAATATGGAGGCACTTGATCCTCTTGTGGTGCCGGCGCATTATCGGGATCGTCAATGTCTTGAAATAATCCTTGAAGCTCGAGATCATCATCTGCAGCCGGTGCCGGAGGAGGAGCACGAGAGGAGCTAGGAGCAGCTCGTGAAGA